AACTACCAGGTTTTTATATCCAACTTCTTCCAAGGACCCCTAGGAACAATCCCCTAGCAGTAGAACTCTTTAATCATCACACACAAAAAAACACATGCCCTCCCCATGCCCACCTACTTACCCAGATGCTCAACCCCAAAACCTCCCTGGCCCTCACTCTATAGCAAGTGCTGGCCTCCCAGCACTGCCATGACCCCTTCAGTATTTCTCTGTCTCCACCCCTACCCACTCATCACTCACCTCAGCCCTGGACAGCCTACACTCTGGGCCTCTCCCCACCCATTCCCCACATGACACAATGCCTCTACAAAACATAAATTAGCTATCTTCACTTGATGTTTTAACACCTTTCCCATTGCCATGAATGAAATCCAAACTCCTGGTCATGTTCTTAGGGTCCTGGAATGTCTGTCACCCCAATGTGGTCCTTCTCATTCACTGAGCATCAGCAGAACCAACTCCCTCCACCCTTCCTTCCAATTTCCCAAACTCTTTCTACATCTGAGCCTCTGTCTTTATGCTGTTGTCTTGGGATGCTCTTCTTCCAGCTCTTTAAAGCAGTGGTTCTTAACCTTCCTAATGCCACGACACTTTAATACAGTTCCTCATGTTGTGGTGACCACCAACCATAAAATTATTTTCATTGCTACTTCATAACTGTAATTTTGCTACTGTTATGAATCACGATATAAATATCTGATATGCAGGATGGTCTTAGGTGATCCCTGCGAAAGGGTCATTCGACCCCCAAAGGGGTTGCAACCCACAGGTTGAGAACCACTGCTTTAAAGACTTGGTTCATTCTTTTCCTTCAGGGATGGACTCAAATATCACCTACCAACAAAAACCTCCCCTGGCCAACTCCCTTGTGAAACATGCTGTCTCTCGGTTCCTAGGGTTAGCCAGTATTTGGGACTGTTTCCTAGATGTTGTTCTGAGTGCTTTACATTGATTAACTCTTAATTCCTCACAACACTGTGAATTGGGCACTGTTACTGTCATTGTCCCACCCATCTTAAAAAGAAGGAAACTGAACCTGAAGAGTTAATGACTATCCAGGGTCAAATACCTGTAGGTGTAGTCTGAGGATTTCACCCTGTGCAGCCTGGCTCCCGCCTGGCCCCTTAACCAGCACACTCCACCCAACTCTCACATTGCCTGCATGGCTCCTTCTAGCATTTTTTTGCAATCTGGGTTTTATCTTGTTTATTTATTCCTGTATTGCCAGTCTCCTCATTAGAATATAAGTAACATGTGGGCACAGACTTTTTTTTCATTGCTGCACCCCAGGGGCTGCCACATGGTAGGTGGGCCACTAATATTTGTTGTATGAATGAATAAATGAACAAGTGAAGAATGGTAAGTCTGGATCAGGAAATGAAAGCATTTCTATCAATGGCTACTCCTATTTTAGTGT